AGCCTTCTAGCTTCTCACATCCCCGAGTTATGAACTTACCCGAAAAAAAATTTGGCGGGCTCATACACGGGTACCACGCTTACCCGGGGGGTGGGTTTGAGCTCATTAGCACCTGTTTGGACGGGGAACATTCCCCAAAAATTTCAGCTTTCTAGCGTCTCAGAATCTCGAGTTATGAATATGCGCGGCAAAAATTTTGGGGGGCTCGTACGCGGGTAGCACGCTTACCCGGGGCTGGATTTGAGTCCACTAATAGCCGGTTGGGCGTGGAACATTACCCCAAGATTTCAGCCTTCAAGCTTCTCAGATCCTCGAGTTGTGAACTGACCCCAAAAAAACTTTGGGAGCCCGCACGTACATGTAGATATGTCCCCAAAGTTTCAGCCTCGTAGCTTTTGCCGGTCTCGAGATAAAAAATCGGTACAGACGAACACACAGACACACACGCAGATACACAGACACATACACAGACAACCTCTCGTCAATATGCGTTTTCTGCATTGCATAGCTGCAAAAAACGCATAAAAAGGAGAAAGTAGGTGGACGCTTAAACACTTAACGCTTTCCAAACGCATTAAAAGTTTTTCAAAGATTTCTTAGTCCAATATGGGTTCTCTTCCAGCTCGTAGATATACCTCTTTTAGCAATTTACCAAATAAATCGATCGGCAAGCTCCAAATCTCACGATTTCGATGTTGATGTCGTTACTTGGGAGTCTGACAACTCTTCCTTTTGAAAGCCACCTCATCACGGAGTAAAGGAGGGATTTACTGTTTAAAAACGCGATCTACAAGTCCTGGAATGTCAGAGTGTGATGCGAACGAATTTAGTCAAACTGTTTCATGTTTGCTTGCTTAAATAAGCAAAAAAATTTCACGTACAACGAGGACATTGAAAGATGTTCTATCGAGTTCCTAGAGAAGTTGATTCATGAATTCATTTCCTAGGGGCAATTGTTTGTATATAGAGCAGCCTAAGCCAATCCGTAGCGGTATTCATTCAAAGCCTTTCACGTTATTTTGTGAGTTACAATGTAACCTTGAACATGCTTCTGCCAAAAACAAAAAAAAAAAATTGCGAATTCATAATTCTGTTCTGAGAGTGCTAATCGAGAGGCGAACAAAACAGTACCGTTATTTGAAACTGGTTTTGCTTCTGTAGATACTTTTTTCAGCAATTGATGAGCTGTCATGGTGTAACTTATGATCTTCAGCACGCTGTTGCCACAATTTAAAAAATTTGTTTTCAAAACAGTTTTAAAAGGTGTACGAACGGAAGTTTTAATTAAAACAAACTTTAGAAAGGGCTGCGTGATTGCTAGCGGCTCCAAGTGGATATTCCCAGTCCAGATCTATCCCGTCGAAATTGTATTTCTTGATAAAATTGAGAGCACTTTTGACAAAATTGTTGCGGGTTGACGATGAACTGGCGATACGCTATAAAGCATTGCAGCTATAATACATTGTTCTGCTTCCACTTTTTATTTGGAGACAAAAAGTAAAAAAAATCAGAATACCGCAAGGATCCTGCTAGCAGGGCCAGGCCCGCCAAATGAAATGAGGATTTTGAGATTTGGGTCGCTGCTTTTGAGAGCCACAATATCCTTGAAGAGCTTATCATTGTCCGGGTCGGAAAATCTGAAATTATAGTTCACTTTCAGAATCACTGCTATAGTACTTGGAGTCGCTTGCCTA